TTAAAATTTAGACAAATAAATACGATGCAAATTTTTTTAATTTTGCAAATGGAGACTAGTTGTTATCCTTGGTTTGTATGAGCATGTGTCAATGGAAAAAACATAAATGTTCTCTCAATTCACTGATTCCAAGTCACAGCCACTGTCTTCACTATTGAATACGAACAGAAATATATTCTACGTATGAGTGCATCTCATATTACAGTATATTGAAAGAAGTATACATAGATAGATTTCACAATTTTTGATGGCATATATTATGAGGATGTCTTTAATGGGATTCTCAGTTTTCAGGTTTTCCTACATAAATATGGAACTTAAAAACTAATGCTTGTCTATCCATGAGTCAGTGATCCAGCTAATCCCTGTGCAGATGATATGGGAAGTTCACAGACAGACTTAGGACCGCACTGCAATTCAGTAAATTCATTTTAGGGACAGCATGTGTTGTAGTACATACTAGTGAATGACTATCAAGAATTCATTAGGTTAATTTAAAATTGTTCTTTACATGTATTTCAATAGGTATTTATATAGAAATATCACTGGAAAAATATGCTCCCTGAATTCCTATTAGCCATTGAGAGAGATGAAGTAGACAATAAAATCATGGAGAACCACTACGAAGACAAAGTTCATCACCATAATTCAAATTTCTGCAATGTATTGCATCTGACATACATAATATAAAATGCTTATTAATAAGTCATGATGAGTTTCTGTTATTAGTATCATTATGTAGATAATATTATTTGAATGCATTCTAAATGTCAGAAAGTATTGTAAGCCAGTGGATACTATCCCAGGCTGAATTCATGATAATCCTCTGTTTCCAATGTACATATTCTAATTAAACTTTCTAATGAAGATCAAGATCTTATTTATCTTTTTCCACTTTATAAATTTTATTTTAGAAACAATCTTATTTTACATATCAATCCTCCCATTCCTTCACCCTTCCATCCTCCCTTGCCCCCCCAAGAGAGCCACCCAACCCAACCTTACCCAATTCCAAAGACTAGTGAAATACACACGGGGGGCCATGGAAGTCTATTATATCATTTGTGGGAGGTCCTATGCCCCCTTTCATGTCTGGACTTATATTGTATGCCTCCATAGGGAATGAACTTTTCCTTTTACATAAAAAAAAATCTCCATTTGCCCATATTTTTGCATCTCTAATATTATTTGCATTTTAAATATTTACAATTTAAGCAATTCAATGTGCTCTCACATAGAAGTAAATCTGAAATTTCCTCTGAAGCTAAAGTAAGAACATTGGCATTCATACAACAGGCCTGTCTCTCAAGTAAATCACTTTACTATTTTAGGAGGAAGAGAATGAAACTAGGCCCCAGGTCAGCTGGTTGCACTTCAGAAAATCAATAACATTTTCATCATATGAAAATCATGTTTTTATTATTATTTTTTATTTTTAAATTTAAATTTAAATTAGAAACAAGGTTGCTTCACATGTCAATGCCAGGTCCTTCTCCCTTTCCCTCCCCTCCTCCCACGTTCTCCCACCAATGGCCCCAATAAAATTTCATTTCCCCAGGGAGGATGAGGCCCTCCATGGGATGCCCATAATCTGTCATTTCATCCAGGGCAGGGCCTAGACCCTCCCCGAAGTGTCCAGGGTTACAGTGCATCTCTAATTGTGGGATGGGCATCCAAAGTACATTTGTATGCCAGGGATAAACACTGATCTACTACCCAAGGCCCAATTGATTGTCTAGGCCCACATTCAGGGGTTCTTGATAAGTCCCATGGAGGATTCCCAGTCATCAGTCTGGGTGGGATTCCAGAGCTAATTCTTGTCAGGTCAGCTGTTTCTGGGGGTTAAAGCAGCCCAGTCTTAACCACTTGGCTCATCAGTCCTCCCTCTTTGTCAATGGGTTCCTTGAGTTCAGCTCAGTGTTTAGCTGTGGCAGTATGCCTCAGTTTCCATCAGCCATTAAAAGAAGGTTTTGTTTCCCAGATTCTCTGGCCATGGGATTGTAGGCTGGCATTCTCCAGATCTATGTCTAAAATCCATATATGAGAGAGTACATGCCATGTTTCTCTTTTTGTGACTGGGTTACCTCACTCAGGATGTTTTCTTCTAGTGCCATCCATTAGCCTGCAAATTTTAGGATTTCATTGTTTTTTTCTGCTGAATATTACTCCATTGTGTAAATGTACCACATTTTCTCTATCCACTCTTCTGTTGAGGGGCATCTAGGTTGTTTCCAAGTTCTGGCTTTTACGAATAATGCTGCTATGAGCATAGTTCAACAGACATCCTTATTGTATGAATGTGCGTCTTTTGGATATGTGCCAAATAGTGGAATTGCTGAATCTTTGGTAGGCTTATTCCCATTTATCTGAGGAATCTCCATACTGATTTCCAAAGTGGCTGTATGAGTTGGCACTCCCAATAGCAGTGGAGGAATATTTGCCTTTCTCCACAACCTCTCCATCATAAACTGCCATTGGAGTTTTCGATTTTATCCATTCTGGAAGGAGTAACATGGTATCTCAGAGTTGTTTTGATTTGCGTTTCCCTGATGTCTACGGATGATGAGCAATTTTTTCAGTGCCTCTCAGCCATTTTAGACTCACCTATTGAGAATTCTCTATGTAGTTCTGTAACCCACTTTATAATTGGATCCTTTGGAGCAAGAGCCTTGCTTCTTGATTTTGTTGTAAATTTTGGAGATAAGCCCTCGGTCAGATGTGGGGTTAGTGAATACCATTTCCCTTTCTGTGGGCTGCCTTTTTGTCTTGCTGACTGTGTTTTTGTACCTGTTGAGGTTTGATATGTTCCCAAGTATGTGGTCGATTTTTAAGAAGGTTCCATGTGGTGCTGAGAAAAAGGTATATTCTTTTTTATTTGGACAAAATATTCTATAGATGTCTGTTAATCCCAATTGCGTCATAACTTTTATAGCCCCATTAGTTCTTTTATAAGTTTCTGTCTGGTATTACTGTCTAGTGGTGAGAGTGGGGTTTAGACGTCTCCCACTATAAATGTGTGGGGCTTTAAATGTGATTTGAGTTTTAGTAATGTTTCTTCTACAAACGTAAATGCCTTTGTATTTGGGGCACGGATACTCAGAATTGAAATTTCATCTTGGTGGATTTCTCATGTGATGGTATATCTTGTTTGATTGATTTTATTTGAAAGTCTATACTGTTAGATATTAGGATTGCTACACCCATTTGGTTGGGTGCCTTTCATTGGAAAATATTTTCCCAACTTGAAACTTTGAGGTAATTTCTGTCTTTGAGGCTCAGGTATGTTTCTTGTATGTAGCAGAAAGATGGGTTCTGTCTTTGAGTCCATTCTGTTAGCCTGTGTGTTTTTATGGGAGAGTGATGACCATTAATATTGAGGGATATTAATATCCATTGATTGCTCATTCTCTTTGAATTGGAATGGTTGTTATTGGTGGAATTATGTGTGGAATTACACCCCTTTTTTCTTTTGGCTGTTAGTAAGTTGAAATTATCTAATGCCTATGTTTTTCTGGTTGTAGTTAACTTTCTTGGCTTGGAGTTTTCCTTCCAGAACTTTCTGTAGGCCTGGGTTAGTGGATATGTATTGCTTGAGTCTAGTTTTGTCATGGAATATCTTGTTTTCTCCATCTATAGTGATTGAAAGATTTGCTGGGTATAGTAGTCTGGGGTGGCATCCGTGGACTCTTCGTGTTGGTAGAATACCTATCCAGGACTTTCTGGATTTCAGAGTTTCCCTGGAGAAGTCAGGTGTAATTCTGATAGGTTTACCTGTATATGGTACTTGGTCTTTTTCCTTAGCTGCTCTTAATATTCTTTGTTTATTCTGTGTATTTGTGGTCTTAATTGCTATTTGGCAAGGGGACTTTTTTGTGGTCCACTATTTTTGGTGTTCTGTAAACTTTCTTTTACTTTCATTGGCATGTATTTCTTTAGGTTGTGAAAGTTTTCTTCTATGACTTTGTTGAATATATTTTCTGCCCCCCTTTTTATCTTTTTTTAAATTTTATTATTTATTTTTAAATTTAAATTAGAAACAAGTTTTCCTCACAAGTCAGTTCTGGGTCCCTTTCTTCTCCTTTTATGTGGTTTTCTTCACCTTCTTCTATACCTATTATTCTTAGGTTTCATCTTTTCATGGTGTCCCAAGTTTACTGGATGTTTTGTGTTATGGATTTGTTGGACTTAAGATTTTCTTTGGTCAATGAATCAATTTCTCCCAGTGTATCTTCAACACCTGAGATTCTCTCTTCCATCTTTTGTATTCTGTTGGTTATGCTTGCATCTATAGTACCTGCCTGTTTGCCCAGATTTTCTATTTCCAGCCTTCCTTCAGATTATGTATTTTATTGTCTGTATTTCAGTTTTCCACCATTGCACTATTTGAATTTTTCTTGCAATTTTTGCTTTGTCTTTTCTTCCATTTGTTGCACTTTAAAAATTATTGGTTTGCTTTTTCTTCCATTTCTTTCAGGGATTTTCCTATATCCTCCTTTAGGCCTCTATCATTTTCATGAAGTTGTTTATATGGTCATTCTCTTCTGCTTCCTTTGCATTGGAATTTTGGAGTCTTACTGTTGTGTAGTATCTAGAATATGGCAGTGTCATACTTGTTTTTGTTGTTGTTGTTGTTTTTGCTGAGTTTTTGAATTGTCTCTTTCCCATCTCTTCTTCTGGTGTGTGCAGAAAGAGCCCCTTACTGGCCTTCTGGCTAGGGAACTAGAGGTCCCTTTCCATGGGTGCAAGCAAGTCCAATACTCTGATAGTTCTCCTCTTCCTGGTCCCTAGCCCTGGTCCCATGTGTGGAGAAGAATACTGGGAATCTGCGGTTGGTAGGCTCCCACTGGTGGTCTGCAGGCACTGGTACCCTGGTCCTGTTAGTATAACAGAAGCCCAGGAATCTGTGATGTGTGGCTCCTGTTGGGAGGAGAGGCTCTGTATCAGTCCCCTGGCAGTCCCCATGCACTGGAAGGTAGGCCTGTTTACAGGGCCTGGTTTAAATGGTTCTGTTTGTGGAAAAGGAAACCAGGAATCTGGGGTGCTTGGCTCCTGGTCCCCTGGTACCGTTAGTGGAAGAGAAGGCCAGGCATCTGGTATGCATGGATCCCACTGGGAAGGGAGGCTCTGTAGCAGCCCCCAGGCACTGGAAGTCAGTCTTTTTATACCAGATATTTTACTGATATTATTGGAATTGATCTCCACAAATTAGCTTTGGTGCATAAAATTTCCACCCTATTTATTGGTATTTCATTATGTTTCACATCACTGGACAACACAACAGATGTGGACAGAAATATTTTGTAAGGATGTCAATTTAACTAAAATCTATTTAGAAAATTTGAATTACACTAAAATAAGTAAGGAATATATAAACAAATGGTTTTAAAATTATAAGTAATAATTAACAAAAATTAAATTCCCCACAATGAAGAATTCTTTTTTCATTCGAAGAATAAAAAGAAACTATAGAAGATACTGTAGTCTGAAAAAAATTTTCTTTGTAGGAGTCATAAATTGTTATTTAGAGACTTGGACTTCACACTGTGAGATATATTTCAAGACAAATAAATTTGCTCCATGTTACTACAATAAGAAAAATCATACTTAAATGCTTCAAGTTTTCATTTTATTTGATTAGCAGTTTATGTGAAGTGAAACTTCTACAAAATACCTATTTTGTTTTAAAGGTATTTGATTTATTTTACTATGACTACAGGACAGCTGATTCCAGTAACTCTAGCCTCATTTTCTAGATTAATGCATTAAACATGGATCTCATAAGAGGTAACACTTGGGAAGAGAACAAAATATGGAGCAAGTATTAATGATGACAAAATAAACTTGAGAAAATCATATATTTTTGTACTTACATGATTCAAATTCTAAAGAGGTCTACATGCATTCTGTTATCATTGTTAACAACATTCTTGGTTTTCCCTCAAAAGGTGTTCAAGAAATAAAAGCCTGCAAAATGCAACAACTATACCAGAATTCCATTTCATTCAACTCTCAGAGGATCCAGATATACAGACTGTTCTCTTTGGCCTATTCTTGTCCATGTACATCTTGGCCCTGTTTGGAAATCTGCTCTTCATCTTGACGGTAATCTCTGACTGCCATCTCCACACACCCATGTACTGCTTCCTCTCCAACCTGTCCATGGTTGATATTGGTTTCATCTCCACTACTGTTCCAAGAGTGATTGTGGACATCCAAACTAACTGCCCGGCCATCTCCTATGTGGGCTGCCTGACACAGATGTCATTGTTTGTAATTTTTGGATGTATGGATGACATGCTTCTGGCTGTGATGACATATGACAGGTTTGTGGCCATCTGCCACCCTTTGTATTATCAGGTCATTATGAATATCAGTCACTGCAGTGTCTTACTTCTAGGGTCTTTTATCCTTAGCCTGGTGGAATTACTGTTGCACTATGTGGCAGTAATAACATTTTCCAACTGTGAGGATTATAATGAAATTTCTAACTTCTTCTGTGGTTCTTCTGAAGTCCTCAAACTTGCCTGTTTTGATACTGTCATCAGTAACATAGTCAGATACTGTATAGGTACCATCTTTGGGTTACTTCCTATATTAGGAATCATTTTCTCTTACTTTAAAATAGTTTCCTCCATCATGAGGTCATCATCATCAAGTGGGAATCACAAAATCTTTTCCACCTGTGGATCTCATTTGTCCATTGTTTGTATGTTTTATGGAACCGCACTAGGAGTATACTTCAGCTCTTCTCTATCACTTTCCCCAAGAAGTAATGCAGTGGCCTCAGTGATGTACACTGTGGTCACACCTATGTTGAATCCCTTCATCTACAGCCTCAGGAACAAGCATGTTAAAACTGCCTTAAGGAAGTTTCTTAGCAGAGCATTCTAATCATTGACAATCTTTATAAATTCACATTTTATGTCTGTTTATTAAATATACAGGTAAATCCCAGTTAATGTCTCAAGACATTATCATGAGATGATATTTCACAATTTTGGATGATGAAGTGATGTTTATTGAGGTTGCACATATGGTGATGGGGAGTTTAGAAATGCACAAATATTTGTAGTTGGAGAGATGAAACTTCTTGGGACGATAGATGCACATTGCTGAACAACCCCTTACAATATGAGTGTAATCAACATCTTAAATGTATCACAGGAGCCAATTTCAAGGAGCAGTTCTTCTGAACTCTGTTTTAGAAATGGCTGAATCCCTGACTTGTCACCCAGACTATCTGAACAGGATTTGCACAAGGAACACGTGAATAGACATGCTAATGTGGAAGGGGAAAGCTTAGTAGGTCTCATCCTTAGACAAAGATGGATTTTAGCCTATAAAGAATTTTTGTTGATTTAATAAGTTGTAATATGTTATATTTGCTGTGTAGTTTCTTCAGATGAATCAATTTCTTAAATTTATTTTTTTTAATTTAACTTTTGCATTCCAACCAAAGTTCTCATTCCTAACTCTCCTCCTCCTCTTTCCTTTCTACAAGCCTGCCCCAGATCCATTCCCAACAGATAAGGGCTCCTATGTGGAGTCATAAAAGATGGACACATTATGTTGGAGCAGGACCACCCCCTCAACACTGTGTTAAGGCTAAGTGTGACATACCCTCACAGGTAACAGGCTTCAACAAGCTATTCATGCACCAGGGATAGATCCTCATCCTACTGCCAGGGGTGCCTGAGATGGACCAAGCTACGCAATTGTCTCCAACACAAGAAAGTCCTAGTTTAATTCAAGAGATACTCCACTGCTGTCTGTCTAGAGTTTATGCATTTCCATGAGATTAGTTCAGCTGTCTCTGTAGATTTCTCCGTAGTGATCTTGACATCCCTGTATTCTTTTCATGTATTCCTGAAAGAGATACTGTGATAGAGAGAAAGCTACTATATGTTTAGGGAGAAACCCGATGCTAGGTAAATCCCAAAGAATCCACAAGGATGGCTCTAGTTAAGATTCATAGCACAAGTGGTGAAGGGCCTCAAACTTGCCTTCCCTGTAATAAGATTGGTGAATACCCGATGGAACCAGATGCATAAATCCTCAACCAACCACCAGGCTGAACTCTGGGAATCCAATCAAGTAAGGAATTTTGAAAGCAGGAGAAATATCATTAGTTAGAGAAAAAGGCAATGAATCCAAAGAGAGCAAGGGTGGGTACATAGGAATTAGCAAAAGAGGGAGGTGAGAGGTGCTGGATGTAAAGCATAATCTCATTTTAAAAATATTAAGCAAAATCAATTAAATTTTTAACAATACCCATAGAAGGGTGGCACGTATCACCTCCAGATAATATGTGGGATACATGGGTTTGCTTATGATATACTTAAGAATCTTACTTGATTATTTTTTTATAAATTAAGTTTTGATGTGAGCTGTCAAAGTAATTAGCCAGGTATCTGGAGTGAGAGAATTAAAGTAAATGGATAAGATTTGATATTAATTAAAATCCACTAATGATGCATGAGATTGCTGGAGTTCAAAATGGTCTTGTCCTTAGTTCTTTTGTTTACAGTGTCCACGAAACTGCAACAAGTTACAGTAGAATATGGATCAAAAGAAGAATATAAGATTGATTCCATGTGACATATTTAAGGGGAATTGATAAAACTGTAACATTAACATAAACTTTAACAAGTCAAAATTATTTTTTAATAATTTAATATTTTATATTTCTAGAAGATTCATCATTCCATAATGGCAGATTTGTGTTTAATGGTCCCAATTACTATGTAAGTTTTAATAAATATTTTTAATAAAAGCACATTTTTCATATCCTCTGCCAGTTTTGAATTGTATACAAAAAGAAATCTTCAATAACATACACACAATTTAAGATAATATTGTTTAAAACACAAACATAGACTCTCAAAAAACATGACTTACCTATAATAGGAAAGCTATTTTGGAAAATGGAACACAATGACTTTGTCATCATGAACTTTTAATTTTAATGGAACATTTAGACAATAATTTCCCTTGATATCTTATGGGGTTTTAGTTAGTCTAAGCAGAGGGGAACTGTATTATATCCTAGCAAAATAGTAGGGGAAACATAGATGCTTCCTACTTTTCTTTGACTAAAAGTAATGTTTCTTCAATGGGGAAGAATTTATTTTGAGTGGTTTTTTGAGTGGTTGTATTTCACCATGATCCTGGTCTCCTTTTACATAATGTGATTTTCTTTTAAATACTGTGACACTGAATGTCAATAACTAGGTTTGCCTAGAAACTTAAGAAATTAAACAGCAAAGAGACACTCTGCTCCTACCTGCAGTGCAACAGGAAGATAGATAGGCCTCTTATAGGCTCCCTCAGGACCACATCCATTTGTCTCAGCTTCAGTCTCCAAAAACATTTCCTGGAAATTCACTAGCTACACATTGGAGGGAATAAACTGGGTATCTTCACTCCTACCATTGTCCTTCATTTACAATATACCATCCCATTTCCCAACCCAGACTACATGTTGTGGCCTCTGTTCCCAGTGGGCCTACATTGCTAAGGATCTAGGGTGATCCTTTTGGCATACCCTGCTTTCTTACTATCTACTTGTGGACCACTGCAAATTCCCCCTTATGCCCTACAAGTAATACTAATTTTCAGCCCCCAATACCTAATATCACATTGTACCCAGTACCCCCAGTGGCCACATATGCATCTCAGAAGCATTTCCTGCCAGGCAGCCCATAACCACCACAATCTACAAAGAATCACTGACAGAAAATAAAACCAAGGAACAAATCACTCACCAACAAAGATAAGACCAAATATTAACATCCATAAAACAACATACCTATACACTAGTCTAAATACATAATCAATGACAGCCAGAAAATATACCCTCTCTATTACATAGCAAAGCAAGACAATAGACCCTGAGTAATGCAATAAAGCTGAAGCACAATACAATTACTTCAAAATAGCATTTATATACTCTTGAGGTGCTTAAAGATCATACCAATAAATGCATTTATGGTGTATAAAAATTAAACAGTGAAATAAAATAAACAGTTCAGGACATGAAAATGGAAAAATATTGATAAAGAAAACCTAAACTTGGGTCATATATGAAATGAAAATATTGGGAACTAGAAAGAACTGCAGGCATAAAGTTCACCAAATAATACAAGAGATGGAAGAGAAAATGTCAGACATTGAAGACATGATAGGAAAAAAGGGATGCCCCAGGCGAATAAATTGTTAAATAAAAAAGACAAGAAAAACATACAGGAAATCTGGGACACTGTGAAAATACCTAATGTAGGAATAATAGAAAGAGAGAAAAGATAAGAAACCCAGGTCAAGGGCATAGAAAAGATTTTCAACAAAACCATAGGAAAACATGTTCCAAACAAAAAGGAGGTTGTAGGGTCTCTGAATTGTTTGTCAGGTGATATCCACAGGTGCATCCTGTTTTCTTGTCCTGGCTTACTGCCCCTGCATGCCCCACTGACATCAACATCTAGCATGAGTAAAATATGCTCTCTTACACCTGGGGTTTTTCAACTGTGCTGTAAGCCTATATATAAGACTGTTCCCTCCTACAAGAGAAAGACCTCTTAGCACTTGCAATAAAGACACACACACATACACTCTCTCCAGGCAATAAAGGCAACACATGCATTCTCTTAATACAAACAGCTGGACGTCTTGTCTTTCTTTTCCTGATACCTTCGACTTGCTTGTAGAGATGCGTCGCACCTGCTGTGCGGCCTGCATCCGAGAATGTAGCGAGGTGGTCGGGATAGATGACACAGAGACCGGTCGGTTGCTTTAAGAAAACTTTATGCTTCCCAAGTCAGCTTAGGAGGAGACCCCAGTCTGCTTAGGAGAGCTCTCAGGAGAAGACTCAGGAGAAGTCTCAGGAGAAGTCTCTCTAAGAAAAAGGAGCTTCCCTTTTTAAGGACTTCTGCCATTCATCTACATACCATTCTTTCCTCCTGGCTGGTGGTCTAATCTCCGGCCCCAGAATCGGGGAGACACCACAGGGAAACAGGAAGAGGCATCTAGCCATAGGAGGTGTTAAAGGCATGGTATTTCAGTGAGCCAGCCCTTATCTGAGCCCTATCAAGCTTTAAAGCACTGAATTGTTTTCAGTAAACATTACATAGATGCCTGCTCCCAGGCCGAAGGGGAAGTGGGTTTCTGCTCAAGGTCTGGTGTCCCCACAATTCACCCCTTTTTATTTTTAAATGAGACACTCCTGTCTTAGGTCAAGTAGGGTCACCCTCCCTGGCCCGTCTTTGGGGGACCTTGAACCCCTGTTAGGTGGGAGTGGGTCTTCCCCACAGGTTGTCCGTCTTTGAAGTAGCCCCACCCTTAAAATCATTTGTAATAAGGCTTTATGGCTATCGGGATTGCCAAGGGCTAAGGCACTTTGAACTCAGCATGAAGCCAGAATGCCTACTGCCACTGTTACCATTCCTAGGACCCCCACTGACATAGCGTCTCTCTGTCACCTGCCCAGTCCCCGATCTGGGCCTTAGCATTCTACCACCAGCCTTTCTTTGCTACAAGGGTGATTTATAGTTACAATTTGACGGTCAAAACAGTGATAAAGTTTACAATCATTTTAAGATCTACTTAGGAAAGCATTAGAGAGTGCACTTGCACAGATACATTAGGTACAATCATTGATGTTACACATGTAGCATTATAAAAAATATGAACAAGAGGCTTGTTGCACTATTTACAGAGTACCAATTTGTTCCTGTGGTGATGTAGTCTGTCGATTTAATGTCAGTAGTATCAGCCGAACATGCAACCCGAGTCAAAGTCTTTTTGTCGCACCAGGACAAACCATATTTCTCCAGAAAAACACACTGTGATTCCAGAAACAGGAACTACCAAGTCTGATATTTCAAGTTACCATGTCC